TTTTCCCCAAAGCCCCAGTGGATAGTTGTATGTCATAGTTGCACATCCTTCTAGTTGCTGTATGTGGGACACAGCCTCAGCATGGCTGGAGAAGTGGTGCGTCGGTGCGCGTCCGGGATCCGAACCCGGGCCACCAGTAGTGGAGCGCGCACACTTAACCACTAAGCCACGGTGCCGGCCCTCAGTGAACATTTTTGAATGCTTTCTTGTGCACATTTGTGAGAATTTCTCTAGGTTATTACCTAGGAGTAGAATTGTTGGGCCTTAGAGCTAATGCAGCTTTGCTATATAATCCCAAGTTGTTCCACCAATTTATACCCTCAGCTGCAGTGTTAATGTATACCCTTGCTGACTACTTGATATTTTCAAACTTTTAATTTTTGCTTATCCAATGTGTGGGAAATGGCATCTCATCGTTGTGTTAATTTGTGTTTCCCTAATTATGAGTGAGCCTGAGCTAAGTTTAGTGGCCATTCATGTGTCCTCCTCTGATGATCTTTGTCCATTTTTCTATTGGTTTGTTTTCTTTTTCTCATTGGCTTATAGATGTTCCTCATATATTTGGATGCTCTCTCTTGGTATATTCATTACAAATATATTCTCCCATTTGGTAGCTTGTCTTGTCATTCTGTCTGTCTATCCATCCATCTATGAAGATAAGGTTATAATTTTAGCGGTCAAATTTATCAGACTTTTTCTTAATGTTTTGTGAAAGTTTTTTTGTATCTTGTCTAAAAAACACTTTTTAAACCCAAGATTATAAATATATTTCCTTCTGAACATTTTACAGTTTTGCCTATCATATTTAAACATTAACCTATATTCAAGTGATTCTTGGGCATATTATTAAGTAGAGATCCATTTCGTTTTTTCCATAAGAATAACTAAATGTCCTAGCACTACTTATTAAACAGTGTGTCCTTTACTCAGTGATTTGTAATGCCACTGCTGATATATGTTAAGTGTCTATGTGTGCATGGGTCTGTTGTTCATTTTGGCTTTCTTCTAGGATCTACAATCCTCCTTTCCTTTGCCCCCTATAATTTATAACCTTTTCCCTTTCTTGCTTGAGGCATTTCTTTAGATTTTAACTCAATTCTGTTACATGCTTATGAATTTGTGTAAATACAATATGATTTTAATTATTTTTTTTATCATTTTTTCTACCATGACATGTATCTTATCTAATAGCCTACAATGCATTTCTATTTTTTCATGTTGTCTTTGTTCATGGTGTTTCTTTAAAAAAGGTCCCATCATTTTCTTTTACATTCTATTTATTGATAGAAGTATTAGAGTTGAAAGTACAATTGAAAATGTTGTGATCTTTAATTTTAAGGGGCAAAGGACAAACTTTGAAATACTTTTTTTAAAAACAGATTAAGAATAACCTGCTTTATCTAAATGGCTAGGAGAGTGTTTTGATTAACACCTTAGAAAACAATATATTTTAGACAATTTGATTTTGTACTAGTAGGCAGCATATTATGCTTTGCTTGAAATTCATTAAATATTAGTCCTATCATGCTATTGTTAACTGATCTATTTTATTTTTTTAGATGATTGGAATCCATTTTCGTACCCATATAAAAAACTGGATTATGGAAAATGGGATCTGTATATCCCACCAAAGCAGGATAAATCCCTTCTAGTACCACATGGATCCAAATTAAAGGTACTTTCTTCTCTCCTGTTTTTATTTGAACTTTTTTTCTTTTTATCCTGTTTGCAAAGTTTGATTTAAAATATTAGAATGTAAACTGATGCGTTATAACTGTGGGAGAGACAGTCTAAATGTCCAAATAGAGGAAAATTTAAAATGTGTTAAATTAGAACTTTTTGGTTGGTAAGATACCAAACTTATTAGTTGTATTATCATCACCTTTGGAAATTTTATATAAGGAGCAATTGAGTATTACAGAAGTTTATCTAGAAAACAGAAAGTTTAATAGAAAAATGAAACCTGTCTTCAAATCAGCAAATGCAGAGAGAATTTTTACCTGTAGAGATAGAGTCTTGATAGAATTGATTTTGTGAGGAGCCACATAAATGGGAGGCGATACTGTGTGCATGGGAGTCCCCTGCAGTTTGGGGATGTGATTTTTCTGGTTATCCTCTTTCTGGTCTGTGATATGGGGCTCTTGTTTCTGCTGTTCTCCTGTGTTAAGGCCACCTGGGTTAGCCTAGGGGCTGCCTGTCAGAGGCAGGCTGAGCATCCCCCCACTCCCTCTGCTTTGGCTGACCATGTGGTTCTGCGTTCAGGGTCTGCACAGCCAACACAGCCAGCTTCTCCTGTCTCCTCAAGGGAAGATTGAGGGGTGGGTCCCAAAGTCTGGATTCCAGATTTCAGGCTTTGATTGTATAAGAAGCTATCTAAATTGTTTAACATTCACTGGATTTTAGCCCATCTCATATAATTATGTAATATTTCTATGTCCCTTGTATCTCTTTCCTTTCCTTAGACCTGCAATAGCATTCATAGCATTTATGATAATAAATCCTATGACTGAATTATTATGTTTATTAGCATTTATTATTTAACAATATTAACTTAGAGTTACTTAAGGTATGTTTAAAATCAAAATGCATCATATGTTTGCTTTGCCGTTTTGTTTTGTTTTTTGCAAATAATGAAATTATAAGTGTATCTGAAAATTGCTGAAATATTGCCACACATAATATAGTTACCAGAATAGCATGCTGTCTGGAGTAAAGAGACATTTTAACATGGGATAGCAGCCAAGGTTCTTTTTAATCTGCAGTGAAAAAGAGAAAAAGTAGCTACAGTATACAATAAGAGGGATTTAAATTTAATATAAATAATCCCTTTTCTAAGTCGGTATAAGCTCCACGAGAACAGGGGCCTTTGCTGTTTTGTTTGCTAATACTGTATATTCTCAATTCTTAGAACAGTGCCTGGCACAGAGTAGGCACTCAAGAAAGAGTTATTGAATGTTAAAGCATTTTTAGGTCCAATCTTTGAAAGAATAAATCAAATAGCTTGATTCTTCTATGGTTTATAAGGCCTGATTTTATGGAAACTGAGGCAAGGCATCTGTAATAGCGCTGGTTTCATTGTCGCTGTAGGTCTAATGGTCATTTTTTTAAAGAACTAAACTTACTAATTTTTTTAAGTGTTGCAGACTTTTTTCTGCCTTCTTGAATTAGAAAATTTTGGGAGCTCTGACACTTTACTTACTTTTTGCCTGAAAAAATGAATGAATTAATTTTGATATTGTTTTTATACGTGGGGAAAAATAGTGGAGTACTAGGAATGAATGATTATTGATTTATACTGGGAATAATGGTAGCATTTATGTCTCCCATCCAACCCTAAATCTTTTATACTTTCTGCTATGTCTGAATATTTGTGTCCCCCCAAAATTCATATGTTGACATTCTAATGCCTGATGTGATGGTGCTAGTAGGTGGGACTTTGGGAGATGCTTAAGTTGGGAGGGTGGAGCCCTCTGAATAGGATTAGCACGCTTATAAAAGAGGCTCCAGAGAGAGCCCCAGCCCTTCCTGCCAGGTGAAGATACAGCAAGAAGTCTGTGAGCTGGAAGAGGGCCCTCTTCCAGCCATGCTGGCACCCCCATCTTGGACTCGCATCCTTCAGAACTGTGAGAAATAAGTTTCTGTTGTTTGTAAGCCACCCAGTCTGTGATATTTTGTTATAGCAGCCCAGATGGACTAAGACGCTTTTTATACGATGCTGTGTACTAGTCTATGCTTTCTTTCGAAAGTTTATTTTACCTGGATAAAATGAGATAATCCGATAATAAAAGAAGAGTCCCTGTTTGCATTTTAAAGGCTTTTAAAGTCTATGTTTAACAGCAAATAAGTGTTCAACAAATATCAAGTAAACTGTTGTGTAATCTTTCTTCATTATTATTCTTTTTTTATATATATATTTTTAATTTTATTTTTCCCCCAAAGCCCCAGTAGATAGTTGTGTGTCATAGCTGCACATCCTCCTAGTGGCTGTATGTGGGACGCGGCCTCAGCACGGCCAGAGAAGCGGTGTGTTGGTGCGCGCCCAGGATCTGAACCTGGGCCGCCAGTAGCGGAGCGCGCGCACTTAACCGCTAAGCCACGGGGCCGGCCCTCTTCATTATTATTCTGTAAAAATTTCAATGAGGATAATTAACTGAAATTTTAGGCCCAAAATACTACTTGTAGTGTTTAAATGTTTCAAATGTTGAGGAGATATTTAGGTGCTATTATAATGTTAAAAAGGTGATATAATTAGTTTTTCTTTTAGGGGAAATGATGCACCAGGTTTTCTTTGGGGGAGAGATTAAATTCTCTATAAAAAAATCAACTAGAGGTTTTTGGCCTTTCAATCTGAAGTTGTCCCTAGGTAGTCTATCTTGGTAATTAAAAATCTTATTTTAAATTGAACTTGAAAATTTATTTCACTCCACAAGGGATTGACCTTTATAACTCACTTGAGGATGTTTCTCTTATGAATTATCTGGTAACCATTAACAAAAAAGAACTGTTACCTGCCATTGAAATAATAGCTTTATTTTCTCTACAAAACAACTGGTCTTTTCAATTGAACACTTTGGAAGAAGATAACTAATTACTTATATGGTCATATAAATGTCTCTTTTCTATATTTTTAAGTAAGCTAACCAAACATAAAATATTTTAAAAATAAAATAAGGTGAATTAAACATTCAAAGCTGTAAAGATATAAGGATAGAAGACTGTGTTAAAAGTCTTTAACACTTTTTTTCTGGATACTAGCCAAACTAATTTATGTAAAGGTATTTTTGTTTACTATTTTAAAATATACACCTTAAAAACATTATTATATTAAAAAATCTTCTCAAGTTGTTTCATGGAAATTTAACACAATTATTATTTATTTATTTATTTATTTATTTATTTTTGTGAGGAAGATTAGCCCTGGGCTAACATCCGTTGCCAATCCTCCTCTTTTTGCTGAGGAAGATTGGCCCTGGGCTAGCATCTGTGCCCATCTTCCTTTACTTTATATGGGACGCCGCCACAGCATGGCTTGACAGCCAGTGCAGCACTGCACGCCCGGGATCTGAACCTGCGAACCCCGGGCCACCGCAGTGGAGCGCGCTCACTTAACCACTGCGCCACTGGGCCGGCCCCGTTAGCACAATTATTGAGTGTCTGCTGTATGTCAGGTGCTGCCCTTGATCTGTGACGCTTGTACTGAATTATAATATATGTGTGTGTGTGTGTGTGTGTGTGTGTGTGTGTGTTTTAAAAATAAAATGCTATTGGAACAAAAAGTGAGCGAACAGGTTATTGATTCTGTGATAGTAACAGGAGAAATAACAGAGGGGCAGCAACATTCAAGCACACTTTGTAACATGTTTAGAAGTTGAGCAGAGAGATAGAGGGGGAAAGGCTATTTTAACCTGAGGGTACTGCATGAATAAAAGTGTGTGTATTGATCCAAGTCCCAACAGGAAGCAAATGGCACACTCGAAATAGTTCAGTTTGAAGAGGGTTTTTTTTTCCCCAAAAGGGTGTTTTGAAAGTTGATAGAGAGTCACGTGAGAGTTCAAAGGAGGGTGGGGTGAGAGGCCTGAATAGCACCCAAATTGTTACGTTGCCCAGGCCACAAGGAACAAGGGATCAATTACCAGAACCCAGAGGGAGAAGATACAGCAAGAAGTCTGTGACCTGGAAGAGGGCGCTCTCCCAACCGTACTGGCACCCCGATCTTGGACTTGCAGACTTCAGAACTGTGAGAAAAGAAGTCTGTGGTATTTTGTTATGGCAGGCCAAATGAACTGAGATGCTTTCTGTCTTGAGAGGAGCACTGAGCTTTGGTGAGGGACACAGTTAATTCATGGTACCCTTGCAGGGAAGGAAACAAATACTCTGATCTCTAGCACTCCCCCCCCTCTCTCTGACTTCTGACTGGGGCTCCACCTTGGCCAAACCCAATGAGAAGCCAGAGTTCTGGGAAGTATGGTCCACATATGTCAGCCTCCTGGGGCAGAGAGCTGGCTGGGAAGTGGATCTGTCCTAACTAGTAAAATGTAGCTCAGGAGGTCAGGGAAAGACCTCAGGTCAGGAAAAGTAACAGGTCAGGGAAAGTAAACCTGAAAGGTGGTTTGGAGGCAAACTGTGAAGAATTCCTTTTCTTTTGATTCTCATTTTTTCTTCTTTTATCATTCCAATTAATGCTGTTAAAAAATGATTAAAGAAGCCGGGTTGGGTGATACAAACAAACTTTATGTAACACTTCATGAAGCAGACAGTCTCCATTTGGAGAACTGCAAAATGAGGCAGAGGGCAGAAGGCTTTTATAGGATAAATAATAAAGAACAAGGAAGAGAAAAAAAGAAAATAAGTGATTGGCTGGGGCCATATCGTCAACCTTGTTTGGGTTGAGAAGGCCCAGAGTTGGCTTGGCATTTGGGGATTGACTTAATGGATATACTGTGTTTCTGGTCAAGAGGAGCATTTATAGGGACATGGAAGTTATCTAAGTATTGGTTTGCTGACATGGTACCCAGGACAGGAGCGACTCCATCTTGGGCCTAGAAAGTTATTTCAACAATACCCAAATGACTAGCAATGGCAATTAGAATTGTCTTCTTTTTAGTGTTTAGGATGTTTGTGTACTTGAACTTTTCCTTGCCAATCTGTAACAAAATGGACCAGAACAGAGGTTTC